AGGCCAAGGCACCAGCCGCTCTTCCTATGTCAGATGCCTGAGCCTCCTGTCTGCCCTGTAATTTTGTCACTGGGAAACAACCATGCTACAGCCATACTAAAAAGATGCCATGGACAAAGTCAATCTCTTCTGAAGAAAATGCCTTGGGGGATCTTTGCTCCAGCTGCTTCATGCTTTGCTCCTTGTCTACCTTGCCCAGCTCTGAGATAACGTGAAGGCAGAAAGCCAGGCTTTTATTTGCTGTTTGGGAAACACTTTTATCAAATAACTTCGCTGTTTTAAAAGAATGAGGCTCCAAGCTTTGTGAAAATATCTGCCTAGGTTTTATTCTCAGCCTGAGACATCAAGGCCTTTTTTCGGGCATGCCGATAACCCACAACTCCAGCTGAAGTCAAAGGCGTTGAAGAGTAAACATACTTATTCTGATTAGGGACGTGGTATCTCAGACTCGGTGAAAACTCAAAGCTTCCTATGAAAACTTGGCTCTTCGGAGTCAAATCCCATTGATGTCCAAGGCTGGCAACAGGAGCTAAGGGATCCCAGAAGCATCTTGAGGGTCAGATTAAGAAAACTGCCAAAAAAAACCCCAAGCTCTTGAGACTTGCTCCCTTCTCCATTAAAAGGTGTTGACCTGAAGCGGGAGCATCAGTACTGCCTAAATCAGACACACGTTCAGATATTCTCTGCCATGCCTATAGTTCAAGCCATTTCCGGCAGGAATGGCCTTACTGTTCTGCTACAGCACAGAAAAGCCACAGATTCATGAACAAGCTACAAGGGACAAGAAAGGAAGAGGGCCTGCTGGCAAGAGGGAGCACAGGCAGTACCAAGTAGCGGAAGGAGGAATGATTCAAGCAAGGATGGGCTCTGAAAAAAAGCCCCCTGAACAGTGCAGTAGAGGGGTATGAGGCAAGGACCACAGGATGGATTTTGAGGACAGAGGCAGGACTAATCCAGAGACACACAGACATCTGCAGGGTAGGAGTCTGCACCTGTGTTGGTCACCTTAGGCTCTCTTTTAAGTCATAATGACGTGGCACATAAGGAACAAGGCATATTATCAGAAACGAGAAGTCTGAAACAGGCCTGGTGACCTGCACCCTACAAGTACCTGTTTCTCTCAGCTGACCTCAAGGGGGTCTAAAGCTGAAAGGCACAGATGTCTAAAGCTAAGTGAGATGGATCTGAAGGAGGAGGATCTCAAAGGAAAGAGGGAGCAAAGCAGCCACACAGACAAGGTCTAAAGACAAGAAGAGCAAGATGATCGATCTGGAAGGAAGAAGCTTCATGGGAGCTGGGGTGAGGACCCTGTGGGTCACAGTAGCTCAGAGGGGAATGACACTCAAATGCTTGGGCTAGGCCAGAAGCAGAAGCCAGGAGGATGAGCCAGAAGGTTATGCATAATCACAAAGACATCAAACAAAACAAGACAGGTGAACCTGGAGAGAAAAAAAGCATTGATCTCCTCATCCTTTCCCAACATACTCCTACTGCTCCATCTCACCGGTTGCCCGATGACCAGGCTGCAGGCACCCGGTCTGGTGAGCGGCCGAGCACAGCTTGCTCACACACCCGCAGGAGGAGCAGGGAAGCCCCTGCACCCCTCATCTCCCCCCTGATACAGAGCTCCCAAGTAGCACCATGCACAAAAAGCAAAAGTAACAAGCTGTAAGAAGAGAGAAAGCTTCGAGCACATCTGCTGAAACAGACCAAATGTCCATCCTTAGAGCACTCCAAAATGCTTCAAAAGTTATTGATTTATTTTGCAAGTGACTGTGTCACTGCCAAAACAGGGAACCTCCAGGAGCTCTGTTAAGCTTCCCAAATGGAGGCGGCAATTACTTCATCTCTCCACTGTTAATTCACCAAGCAGTGGAAACAGCACACCGGTTTCTTTTCTTTTAGTTAACCTATGTAGTCAACTTTAAAATGAAGTTGCCATTGTGGCGGGTTTTTTTCTGCCAGCTTTCTTGGACTTCCAGGTCAATTTTGTTCCCTTTAAATATGAGAGGGTGGGTGGGAAATCTAAGCAAAATTTGAATACCGAAATTTAAATTCTGCATTGTTTTATCCATCAGCAGCAATAACTATTTCGGTTCATTTCAGAACTCAAATCCACACAGAAGAATGAAAGCAGTCGCAGTCTCTGAGTTGTGTACTTGCAGCCCAGACATTAGGGACAAAAAGCTACACAATCAACTTCAAAGCAAGCATACAGGGCACACACCAGAAGTGGAGGCTGGCTACAGAAAGGAGGGTTTGTTTGGTTGGGTTTGGAGTTGTTCGTTTGTTTTTAAATACGACCAGGTTTTGGACAGGAACCACCATTGAAATCAGAGATGAAAGAAATGAAAGAAAAGATGAGAGACCAGCCTGGAGATCCCACCACACGCAAGGGAAAAGGATAGCAGAGGCAGAACTCAAGGATCAGATTATTTTAGCAGTAATCTGGACGAAAATCACCTGAGCACAGACTAGCACACAGAAGCACGCCATACACATGAACGAGCTCTGAATATTGCTTTAAAAGTTTGGGACTGAAGAACTGTATTTCTATCAGCCTCTTCATCTGTGTTATGCTATTAGTGCACTGGCAATGTTATGGGTTTGCTGGGAAAGCTCTCAGTTACACGATAGCCTCCCTTCTAATTTAATTCTTCAGACTTCTAGAGGGACAAATGAAAGCCTAATTTTAGACCTCTCATCTGGTTTTGATATTAAACAGATAGATAAAGATGTCAAAGCTCTTCTGGGTCACATACTGTTCAGGGACCTTAGGGGAAACTTATAGTAATTAAACTGGACAGATGCTCCCAAATAAAAATGATTTTTTAATAATAATTTGCACTTTTTTCAGATTGAGCCTTTATCCCTACTTTAACAAGCAGTCATCCCCAGAAAGCCAGTCAGAGCCAGGCAGGTTTGGGTCACACTTGTCTCTTTCAGCTTGGGCTTGGGTTCTTGCTCATGGTCTTGAGAGAGATTTTTGTTAGGACTGGTGGGATTTTAGGCACTCACAGCTGCATGAAGTAGCTGGCAAACCACAAAGCATCTGGACTACTACAAGTCCTCAGCAAGGCTAGAGGGGCACTTTTTCTCATCCAAATCTTCATTAGAGTCGGTGGCAGCAACAGAAGTGGGAAACTGCTCCCACCACCCTATCTAACTCTCGCCAGTTCCCAGAGGAGTTATGTTTTCTTTCCCTTTTGAGGGGCTCTCCCCGTGCACGCTGCCCTGGGGCTCACGCTCCTGCCTGCCAGCCTGCCTGTGCCAGGGCGAGAAAGGGCTGGACGAGCGGAGGCAGCATCTACACCCCTGTCCCTTCTGCCAACTTGGATGGTGGAAATTCAGCTCTGGACTCAGAGGC